AGGACCTCCTCGGCCGCCCGAGGAGCCTGCTCGATGAGGCCGTGTTTCTCGGCATAATCGAGGATGGTGCTGACCGGGTGGGTGAGGGCTACCCCCGGCCGTTCCAGCCTCGGCCGCCAGTGGCGGTCTTTCTTACTTTGTCCACCAGAGCCCTGGCGGCCCTGGGCACCCTGGCCGGCCGGGGACGGACCCGAGGCCGGCGAAGGATTTGTCTTCTTGGGGGGATGGCCCCCCTCCCTCCTGTGGTTGTGGAGCTAATCGGCGTCGGCATACAAGCCTCCGCGCTGGAGCGCCTTGGCGTACGACCTCGGGGGGTCGGTGATGAGACTCCTGGCGTACGGGGAGTTGCGGAGGGCTCCCTAGTACAAGGCGAGGAGGGTGCGCTCATCGGCCCCCTCGACCTCCTCGGTCTCCCTCGTCCACCGGTCGATGAATGACCGGAGGGACTCCTCGTGCTGCTGTTTGACGGAGAGGAGGTGGGTGAAATACTTCTTCGCGCGCTTCCTCCCGGCAAAGTGAGTGAGGAAGCCCTGGGCGAGATCCTGCCATGAGTCGATACTTCCTTCTGGCAGCCCGTTGAACCACTCGTACGCTGGCCCCTCGAGAGTAGAGAGGAACCAACGGCAGAGGTATTCGTCGGACGTGTTCACCATCAGCATGTTGTTCTGGTAACGGCTGAAGTGCTCCTGGGGGTCTGATCGGCCATCGTAGGACTTGATGGCGTTCCCCCTGTACTTCTCAGGGATGGGGGCCGAGAGGACCCTGTTGGTGAAAGGGGTCCTAGTCCTGACCTGGATGATGGGGTCACCCCGCCCTTCGGCCAGCTCCCTTTCCAGGGCGCTAACTTTGTTCATGAGCGCGTTGAGGCCGGGGTCGTTGGAGGCGCCGACCGTAGGGATGTTGGCCGACTGCTTGGCCTCCATCTGAGCCAGCCTCCTTTCCAGCTGGGCGATGACCTCGTCCTGGGGGTCCCTGTCGGCCGCAGCGGCGCCCGGCTGGTTCCTCAGGCGCTCGTTGTGAGCCGCGTTGATCTGGTGACGCACGTCATCCTCGTGCAACTTCCCCTTGCCCTTGTCCGGGCGGGGCTGGTCCGCTGTCCGGGACACAGACCCCAAACTTTCCCTTGGCGAGCCAGGACGAAGATCACCAATCCGTCCCGCCATCCTCTCCGAAACCGGACGACGGCGCGTGTCACCTAGCCTATTGAAGGCAGAGGCTTTTCCACGCGCTGGGGTCTGCCCGGGCCGAAGAGGGGAAGCAGGGTGGGAGTGGGACGACGCCGTGTCCTGGGCCACAACCCCCTCATTGTTGCCTATCTGGACGGCCAACGGTTGGGGATGAGGAGGTGGAGTGATGTTTCCCCCGGTCCTTGGCAAGAGTGCGCTGAGGACGGTGGGGTTCTGAGCTAGGCTGGCGATGATGACCGACAGCGCGGCCTGGACCTGTGGATCCACGAACGGAGAGGCCGCGGTCATAGGCTGGGCCGGGGCGTGATCCGTCTTTTCAGCTCGCTTCTTGTCCAAGCCGAGGCGGGCATCAGGGGCGCCGCCGTTGAGTTGGTTGCGGAGGTCCGTTGTGAGGTTGAAGGCCTCCTGGAAGAGGTCCCCTCCGCCGACCTGGTCGGCCGTGGCGTCCTCATCGTGCTCCCTGGGTTCTTGGTCCTCAGGGATGGCTTTGCTGACGAGGTTGCGGTTTGACTTAGTTCTCCCCATGATCAGTGGTTAGCTGTGCGTGGTAGCGACGAAGGGTGCTAACTTGATTGTTCTAGCTCTCAACGAGAGCACCAAATGATAGAGTATATCTCTTAGGTTCTAGAGAGAAGTGAGAGCTAGAGAGAGAAGTGCAGTAATATGCTTCAATAGAATGAATTTCTGACCCCTATAACTACTCCCAAGGGGAGTATTTATAGAGAAAATTAGGGTTGGGCTCCCAAGCCTTGGACTTGGGAGGCCCATTTACAACTGGACCGCTACTGGGCCGAATACAAACCCTCTAATGGGCTGTACAAATGAGTAAGTATAGAATCCGATTCTGGGAGGTCTTCGTGGCCGACGAGGGCGTGGCCGACGAGGGCGTGGCCGACGAGGGCGCGGCCGACGAGGGCACCCGAGTCCCTTAAACTCAGGACCGTAATCCGAGTTGGCCCCTTTTCGGCCGACGGGGGCGTCTTGGCCGACGAGGGCGCCACTCTGTTGTCTTGTGCTCTGTTCTTCCAAGTATGTGGGTCCTGGGGCTCAGGCCCATATACTCCATCAATAGTGTTGTGTCGAGTTTGTTCACGAGTGATAACTTTAGAATCAATTTGGCGTTCCCTAAATTTGTCTCAACTTGTTCAATGAGTTTATGTTAAAATGTTTATCACACTTTCTTTTTTAGTCTTGTTGAGGTTTATTCCTTCAACCCGTAGGCCCAACACGTAACCTAAGGGTTTTGAATGGAGGCTTTGGTGAGTAAGATCAAACAAGTAAGATGAGACCCAATAAGAAGTCTTAATACACTGAAGTCTGAAATGGTTACAAAGCTGAGAAACCGTTCGTACAGAGCTATGTTATGATCTGATATAATTGCTAGAATGCTAGAGTGCAACCTCCGTCCCAATTTGATAGTCTCATTTCTTTTGGGCACAAGTTTTAATAAAGTGGTTGAAAAGGTAAAAGTTGTGGTTGACATTTAAATATAATAAAGTGAAATAATATATACCACATCTTTCTTTCTAAAAAGGGAAACAAGACCATCAATTTGGGACATCCCATTTAGGAAATACGGGACTATCAAATTGGGACGGAGGGAGTACTATTTATACCGCCAATGGATAGTTAGATATGCTGATGTGGCGGACTATGGATGGCTTGCTCCCAACCACCAAATCTTCTGCAATAAATGCGCTTCCCGCTAGGATCTTGGCTTCTCGTCAAGGGGTGGGGACGGGCTTCCCCAACTCCCCATGGCCTTCCTTTCTGTTTCCTGTTGGGTCCAAAGTCCTACGAGACGAGCATCTCACGCTGCTCCTGGGCCAAGGTACCTACTTTTGGATATGCACGTCCCCTGGGCCTTGATGATGGGGTTCGTTCATCAGGTGGGCCAATCCTTGTTGTCTTGTGTCTATGGGGACGTTCGTAGGGTGGACCTTGAGGGTTTATGGACCAATACCTGTTGGGCCATTAACCCAACACAAGTCCCCTACTTCTGATGTTCCGAGCGTGCGCGGGACATGATGAAGTAAAACTCCATCCACCGTACTGATATTTGCCGACGTGCTTGATTTGACGGTTGCTTCATTGCAGCGGTTCGCGAAGCATTAGGTGCTGATTACCGCGGAACGGTACAACTTCCGATAAAAGGTAAGCATTACGCGTCTGTTCATTCCCACACGACGCGTGTCCATGGTACGCTCCTTGCCACGTGTCACCTGCAGGTTGGCCCGCTGAGAGGTGCTCCCCCTATAAATACCAGAACTTTTGGCGAGATTAGGGTTTCCAGTTCTCCGCTTTTATTTCCAAGTGTTCTCGCCGTTCTGCTGCAAGTGTTCTTCATTTTCTGATTCGTGAGCTTCCAAGTTTGTAAGGTAATTTTGAACCTTGATTTCTTCTCCTTTTTACTTTAACTCTTCCCATGTCCTGCTCGATGGAAATATCTTCAAGCTCGGGTTCCGGTTCGTCTACCGGTGGATGGGGGTGATTGCGACTGAGGATGTTGTCCCAGGGGCGAGTCCCTAGAGGATGTTGAGATGGGCGTTGTTCCAGCAAATGAAGCCCAGCTAGCCATGACCCAACAACACCCCAAGGACGAACGCCTCGAATATTATGATTCCGGGGTGGAAGCTGTTGATGGGGACGATCTGCAAATCTACAACAAAGGCATCCCCATGGACGTCCATCGTCATATTGTGCTCTTGCCTCATCTGACTGGAATAGAGCAGTCGTTTTCTGACAAGGCCCGCAAGGAATTGGAGACACTTTTCCCTCCGCCGTTCGTCTTCAGCCTACGAGGTGCGAATAATCTTTTCAAACGATGCCCGGGGTTGATAATTGTCCATATGGATTCCATTAAGGCCGGTCTACGTTTCCCCCTTCATCAATTTTACCTTGACTTCTTCCGTTGCTTCAACGTTGTTCCGGCTCAGTTCATGCCGAACTCGTACCTAGGGTTGTAAACGAATCGAATCGAATACTGAGTAATACTATTCGTATTCGTATAACTTGATGAATATTCATATTCGTATTCGGATATTATTTGAATCTTAAATTAGATTCATATTCGATTCGTTAATGATATTCGAATATATTTGTATTCGAAAATTCGAATTCGAATTCGAATATTTGTAGGGGAAATTTTTTCACACATTTAAATTATCATGTTTTGTATGTATTTTCTCCGTTTTCGCAAATATTTTTATTAACCGAATATTTTAAAAAATCAACTACTTCAAAAATCAATTGGAAACCCGTTCAAAATAAAGTAAACATTGTAAAATCAATTAATCAAAAAATCAATTACTTAAAAAAAATTAATGACAAAAAACTATTTTAGTTATTTTAATTTAAATTATTATAAATTATAAATATAAATATAATAATCTAAAATATAATGCATGTATATACAAATCGAATATATTCGTATAACATACGAATCGAATATATGTATATTCGTATTCGTATTCGAATTTTATACGAATAACAAAACCAATTTGTATTCGTATTCGCATTCGATTTTTTCGAATTCGAATCATCAATTTCGAATTCGAATTGCGAATCGGATCAAAATTATTCGATTCGTTTACAACCCTACTCGTACCGGTTCATTTCTTCTTTTATCGTCCGCTGTACGGCGAATGGGTCGACTCCGAGCCTGGATCTCTTCCCGTACTTTTTTCGGGTTACTCCTCAAACGCTCACAGGTTCTTAAGTGTGGCCGCCCGTCCCCGGTAAAAACTATTCGGGGGCGCTCTGACCTCCATCCATGATTGGAAGAACTGTTTCTTCTTCCCGCATTACTCGGATGACCGGCTTCCTGTGAGACGGAATGGACTTCCCCCCAAGATTGGGTAGCCGAGGTTAACTGATGATATGGATGAGGCCGTCAAGAAGTTGAAGATGGACATAATTAAGCCCTTGAAAGATTTTTTAACTCTTAAGGCGCTCTCCGATGCCGGAATAGGTATCGCTCGTGTCCCAAGATTAAACACTTGGTTATTGTTATCTTGAGGGACCGGGCGGTTCCGCTCCTGAGGTGGGCGCCCCCAAGATTTGCACCGCCCAGTTCTAACATGTTTATTCTACCTTTCAAGACTTCCTCCCACCGAAGAACAAATGGAGCAAGCTGATCTCATCGCTCATCGGGAGGCTAAGGCTGTCAGGAAACAAGCCGCACTGGAGAAGGCCAGAGCCGCTCAGTCTTCGGAAGCCAATTCTTCTGCGGCGTCCAAGGCTGACAGGCGCATTGGGGAGGCTGAACAACAGCTCATTGCAGTTGTGATGGGGCAAAGCACGGAGGCCCCCAACACTGAAACCGGCCCGATCATTGATGCGGAGTCGGTGGGTACTGCCCCTCTTGCTGGTGGGGAAAAGGCGAAGGGCAAGAAACCGAAAAGGAAACACACTGAGCCTTTTTGCCCCAAGGCCCCTGACACCTTACTGCTCCCCCCGTGTCGTCCGGTTTCTGAGGTCTGGAGAAAAGTGGCTCTCCAGACTGGGGTGGAATTATCGCCTCGTTCATCAATTGAGGCTGTCATCCATGCCCTTGCACTGACCCTCGAGGTACACTTCTATCTTTATGCATTTACTCAAACTCTTGTAAATCGTTCGTCTCCTTATGATCTTCCCCCTTTCCTTTTCAGATCGGGCTGAGCCTGCTGCAGGCGGAGGCAACTCGGGAGCAGGATGCTCTCGAGACCAAAAGGAGAGCTGAGGAGGCTCTGAGGGCAGCCCGTGAAGCAGCACAACAGAAAGAGGACGTTGCTAGGGCTGAGCATCAGGCGGGTTCGGGTCGGGCGGGTGGGTGAACCCACGACCCTTTCGGGTTTCAGATGTGTAATAAGCCTATCCTACCCTATGTTTTTTTACTATGAATTTTTCGGGTTTTATTGAATTTCGGGTAGGGCGGGTTCGGTTCGGGTATCGGGTTATGTCGGGTTTGATACCATACAACACATAAATTGAATTCTCATACAAGATGTTCATAAAAATATTAAAATATATGACAATTTGATACCGATCTTTTAAACTAATAGAACAAAGTAAAGAACTTAAGACTAAAGTAATAAGCACATATTAAAGACTTGCAGTTTACAAATTACAAAATGCTACACAATTCATTAACATCCAACATTCCAAAGTTCCAAGTACGCAAAATTAATACATCCAACTATCCAAGACTTGAAGTTTAAGTGTTCCACAAGACTACAACTATTTTCCACAGCTTCAAGTTTCCACCTGCATACAAGTATGCAAAATTGCAAATGTAAAGCAATAGACATGTATAATAAGTCAAAGTAACTTGGATAAGTTAATGAAACAAATCAGAAAAATCACTAAAGTAGCCAACTACGCGTCCAGCAAGGCCACAATCTTCTTCCTAGTTCCGCCGTTCTGCGTAGCAGCATCACCATTAAGCCAACGACGAGCGAGGGGTGACGCCGTTCTGCCCGCCTTTCGGGTCGCCCGGAGACCGTCCCTTTCTCGTAAGTTTTTAAATTTAATGTGTATTTATGTAGTTTATTTATTATTATTTCTATTGCTGAAATTGTTAGTTCTTTGTGTGCAAGATTGTGGAGTTTATTCATAATTAAACCAATTTTATAAACTGTTAATTTTTTGTGCAAGTTTATTGTGGAGCTTATTTTTTGTTAATCTCATTTAATAAATTGTTAATTGTATTGTAAAAAAATCAGAAAAATCACTGACTCAGAATGCTTGTTATCCTTCACCAGGAATATAGTGGCAACTGGTACAATTTCACTTACAACTTACATGTTATGAACTGAAAGAGCTATACCAACCTTAAACCATACATTCAGTAATGTGTAGAAGCTTCATCATAGTCAATGAAAATTAATAGAAATGATATAGTCAAGGATTAATGGGATTATGAGTTACTTACACAAAACCTGAACAAGTCAGACCAAGGGACAAGGGTCCAGGACAGTTCACAGTTGGCAGAATGCTTTCCAGAGTGACATAATCATACTCATAATACATTATACATACTCATAATACATTATACATAATCAGAGAGCTCAGAAGTCAGAATGCACATGGAAAAACAACCACATAATGGCACAAACCAGACATTTCATAGAGCTCAGAAGTCAGAATGCTTATTATCATTCACAAGAGAAATAAGGGGCATCTGCTAGAAACCTAGCCAAATCAGAGAGTCATGTACTCATGTTCATACACATTCAAATTGAAAAACAACCACATAATGGCACAAACCAGACATTTCATAGAGCTCAGAAGTCAGAATGCTTATTATGAACTCAAAGAGCAATACCAACCCTAAACCCTATATGCAGTAATGAGTGGGAGCTTAAGCATAGCCAATCCCAAATCATATAGCCAGTTACTGATGTACTAATGTTCATACACATTCAAAATCAAGCACATAATGAAACAAACCAGACATTTCATAGAGCTCAGAATGCTTTTTATCATTCATAAAGGAAATAGGGGTCATCTGCTACAATTTCAGTTACAACTTACCATTTTATGAACTGAAAGAGCAATACCAACCCTAAACCCTAAATGCAGTAATGAGTGGAAGCTTCATCATAGCCAATGCCAAATCAGAGAATCATGTACTCATGTTCATAATTGAAAAACAACCACATAATGGCACAAATGTACAATAATAATATAGAAAATGTACACTTAGTGGCACGATAGAGGATCTAGTAGGAGCAACAGCTCCACCACCAACATTTCCATCCATTATTTCTATAACAAACAAAGAGAATTGTTAGAATTATGAAATATAAACAAGAAGATTCATCTTTAGCAAATAATACATGAAAACACATAAAAGTTATACCTTTTTCCAGTCTCTCTACTTCATCAATGTTTTCTTCAACTGAGATAGGCTGGTGAGCCAATCTTAACCAATCTTGTGCACAAATAAGGGCTTCCACAATTTTACAACTTAATGAACTTCTAAAACTGTCCAAAACCCTACCACTTGTACTAAAAGTGGACTCAGAAGCAACTGTGGAAATGGGAACACCAAGTACATCCCTAGCCATCTTGGAAAGTATAGGAAACCTTTCACTATTTAACTTCCACCATCTTAGAATATCAAAGTCCCCATCTTCCTCAATTATGGACTCAGCTAAATATATATCAAGTTCAGATTTTTTAACTCCTAGCTGACCGAGCTTGTATTCTCTTCTCTCTAGAAAGAAATCCTAGTGGCCGTCTCCCCTCTTTATAGGGGTTGAGATTTTCCGCCGCCCCTATCAATATTGGGTTGGAGCGGCAGATTATACTGATTTTAAGTGTTCTAACGCTTGGGATTGCAACTACGTTGAAGGAGATAGCGTTGGTGGATGAACGAAGTGCGGCTTAGAGGTTGTATCGAGACTGGATCGTGAAGCCTTGGTCATCCATTCCGACAGTGGTGGAATTGGTATTCACCCATATTGCAAGAGTTCATCCTCCTCCGGAACCACCTCCATACCAGGGAATGCTTTGTGGAAAGATTTTGTTTCAGTATAATTTTCTCTTTACTTGCAATTGTTTTCGTTTCAATCCGAGTAGATTTGGTTTGAATGTTTGGATTTTTGGAGTTCTTTTGATAGGCAGAGTTTCGGTTCCATTCATTTTAGGCCTAAGTTTGCCCGTTTCAGGTTTAGCGAGTCATGTTGTTTGTATGAGGTGGCTGACTCTAAGTCTACTCCTAGGGTTCACGATTGGATCTGTAATTTCTGTCTGAAGATTGTCTTGTATGTGTTCTTGATTTTAATATAACGACCGCTCTTTTATGATAAAAAATAACTCCTAGCTGACCACTCTCAAGCTTCTTCTTTTAAGATCAACCTTAAACCTAGACACAGGCCTATTTTCAGAATTATCACACTCCATAGATGCTCCAGAAGTAAAAGTTATATTAGAACTTCCACCAACACAGTCGGGGTAACTTGAAACATAATCAACAAAAAACTCAGTTAGACTTGACTTCACTTATAGAAAAAAAGCAGCACCTTTTTTGTCACCATATAAAGCATTTAGCTGAAATGGCATATATTCAAACTTATCCCTAGGATCTAAGACATTAGCATAGAAGATTAGAAACTTCATCTTTTCAGGATCACCCCAGTACTTGTCTAGTTTGGATTTCATAGTATTCCCCATGGCACTGACAGAAGCAGTTGGAGAGGCAACCATATCTTTGAGGACAAGGAACAAGTCAGAAATTTCATAAAAAAGGTAATGGAAGTAACATATAGTGAGCATGAAATTCTTAGTGTCATTTCATAAAATTTTTGTAGAATGGTCACAAAAGATTCAACAGCAATCCAATCTAAAACATCAGGCATGTCATAACCCAAATTAGTACTATATGCAGATTCATTCTCTTCATAGGCTTCAAACACTTTCTCATTACAAACTGCAGATTTAAGCATCAGGTAATTGGAATTCCACCTAGTTGGAACATCCAGAGATCACTCTTGGCTTCCACTCCTATCAATTCAGATATATCTTTGAACTTTTGAAGCCTAACAGGTGAATTCCTAACATACTTAACAACTTCCCTAACTCTCATGATAGAAGTGTCTGCATCTTTAAGACCATCTTGTACTGCTAAGTTCAAGATGTGTGCAATGCAACGCATATGAATATACTTTACTTTTACAGAAGAAGCACCCCAGGCTACTAATTTTTTCTTGAAAAAACCAACAATTGTATCATTACTTCTAGCATTATCAACAGTCACAGTAAAAATACTTTTCAGACCCCAATCAAGTAAGCAACTCTCTAGGGCTTTAGCAAGGTACTCCCCTCTGTGAGAGGTGACAGGAACAAATGAAATTATTTTTTTCTGGAGCTTCCACTGATGATCTATGAAATGAGCAGTAATGCACATGTAATTTATCCTCTAAATAGAGGTCCATGTATTAGTAGTTATACTAACTCTCTAAGTGTGTTCCCTAAAATTCCTTTTAGAGTCATTTTTTCATCAAGGTATATTTGAAAAATGTCTCTAGCAATTGTCCATCTAGAAGGAATTTGAAACCTAGGACCGGCTACAACAACAAATTTTCTAAAACCTCGTCTGTCTACAAATCTAAAAGGAAGCTCATCACTGATTAACATTTCACCTAGAGCTCTCCTAATAGCTTGTTGATCAAATACCCAAGTTCCCAAGACCCCAATCATTCCAGATGGTTGACCTGTCTGTGGAGGTACAGACTGGAAGGTTAATAGGGCTTGTCTAGTGTCTTTAACATGGGGATTTTTCATGCAAATAAGCATGTGATTTCTGATGGAGGGAGTTCCATGTTTCTTAGAGTGACAACATTATATTTTTTCACAGTATATGCACCTCCCCTTAATAACCACACCTTTTTCATCCTTAATTTCATCAAAGTGATCCCAAATCTTAGATCTTTTGTCAACCACTTTTCTCTTTTGTCCAGAAACAACAGGTGGTGCAGTCTGGTCATTGGTAATGTTAGGCTCAGGATTTTGACCTTCCACCACTGTTTCTTGACTCAGAGGAGGTTTAGATCCAGATGGAGAAAAGGTCACACATTCTTCAGGGTCCATCTAATGTAAGCAAATAAGCAACACATGATATATTGATAGGTGTATACTAAGCTTCCACATTGTTAATACTTAATACCACACAGATAATATGTAAATAGTGTAAGTCTGGAACAATCAGCAAACTGATTTACAGAAGGATAAAAGCACTTTGCTTTTTCCCTTCCCTACAGACTCTGAAGAACCCAGTTCACTCTTTGTACTCCTTTGAGTACTAGAGTACAAAAAGGGTTGTTCAAATTAATCAGAAGGCAGTTATGTAAGCAAGTAAGCAACACATGATATATTGATAGGTGTATACTAAACTTCCACATAGTTTATGTACATGACAACCTGTATAGGTGTATAGGTGCATATAATGATATAAATACA